TCTTGCCTATCTTCTGCTGTCACTACAAAATAAAGGCATAAGAAGCCCAAAAACTGTAAATTAAACAAAACCAAACCAGAAAAGAAACATTACAACCAACAGCAACAACAACAACAACAACAACAACAGGAAACAAACACTCCAAAACATGTAATAAAAAAATAACAGCCTAACAGCCATAAAACTGCCAGCAACCACAAACTAAGCTACTGTAGAGGAAGAATCATTTGCAAAAGGAGATTATGATATAGATGTAATGCAAGTTTTTACAACGTCGGCCACAGCCATACAAGGATTCACAAGTGTTGTTGATCTTGTGCCTTTCAAACCTCAACAGGTGTGGATATTGTGACTTAAAATCCAAAAAAATTTAGCAGAGCATAAAGTACCATAAAATGGAAATAATTGTACTTAAGTATAGGTCTTTTGTTACACCACTGACACTTGGACCAAATCCAAGTAGGCTTGCATTTTTTGTCGTATTCACACGGTATTTAGCACTGTCTGGTTCTGATAAGAATCAGAAAAGAGTGCGAACACGGTCTATTTATCTGTGTGTTGTGTGTGCAGGGTGTTATAGAGAGATGCTGCAACACTGTGCGTTTGACTAATTCATATCAAACTACTTTCACAGTTCAATTCCTGAAGGTTGCCGTTTACACACAGCCCAGGTCTGCAGCTTTCATTTTACACATCACAGTTAAACCATAGAATAATATTTATAAAGTAATCCTCTGCTTATTATGAAAATCTCTGTTAACTCACTCTTTTACAGTACATCAAAGCAGAGCGGTGTGAAACCTACATCACACCTGGATAGAAGCAGTATCATAAAACCAGGCAATGTGTGTTGAACCATTCAGGCCAACAAGAAACATCATTTTATCTCATGACAGTCTGAAAGGGTAAGAGAGAGAAATATATAGGAGCTGCATGTGCACCAGATGACTTTCCTATATATAACACAGACTTTCTGTTAGGCACAAGAAATGAAACAGAGGTTACAGAGCATAATTCCTCTGATTCTAACATTAAAGTATTGCATTATAATTCATACATGCATTATTTAAATTAGTGTTATAAATAATCAGAGTAAAAAAATGTATTGTTTCAAATAAAATAAAAAAAGACTGCTATTTTCTGGATTCTGGGCGTTTTAGCATCAGCGTAGCGCCGTTAGGTCAGTAAGCAGCTTTCTGACAAATTAAGTAGTTGAATAGAGACATGAATAAATGTTTTATATCTGTTAAGTGTGACCCTGAGAACCCTACTGCATCTGCTGTAGAGGAGAGGCAGAAAACTCAGAGTGAAGGACACAAACATGGTGCATGTAGCATCTGAAATAACATCTCTAAAGGGGCAGGCATTTCCTCTGAGTCATATGGCTGAACTGAGCACTCAACACCGTCTGGATGAAGGCTGTCTGTGTGCTTCTAGTTTCTGGTAAGAGTCCAAGCATGACTGCCCACTATATGTGAGTGGAGGCTGTGCCAGCTTCTTTTGCCATTGTATCATAAAGATATGCCAGTTCTTCCATGATGGTACGTTCAAGGCTGTTATCAACAAAATTAAGTAATCTCTAATATAATAGCTGTGTGTCTCAAACAGCTGAGGTAGTATAGGACAGATTATAATGTATTCACCATGCAAAATTATCTGTCCCAACAATCACGGTTGTCTTGACCTGCTGTAGGTATAACAATGCATACCTAACAACAGTGTTCTCTATCTTCACCTGTTCAATCAAAATAAAAAGGCATAAAAAAGGAATGTATTTTTTGGGAGTCTGGTGTGCTAACAGATAATATAGATTTCTCACTGACATAATGTGGCAGTCCCGACCTGGTTTTGTTATGGAAATGTACCGTGACACTGCAAACACAGGGCTAACAGGGGGCTCAGACAAACCAGTTTCTCATGAGTGAAAGGGCTTTGAAGCCTGTGAAAAACAAAGCGATGTTGAGCAAAGGATCTTGCCACAATTCAGCAAAGCTATTCAAATCAACTGCAGTAAAAAGGAAAACATGGTCAGCTACAGCAGACGCTGAGTTGTTTGAGATGCCACAACGACAGACGCCACTGCCATTTTCCTAGTCTGCTCATTTTATAATCTAAGCCTGTCCTTAGTAGAGGATTATTATTTTCAGATAATTCTAACTGATGGGAAAATTACTACCCGAAAGGACACACTGGGGAGCTCAATGGACAATTTTCCTTTATAGAAAAGTTAGAAGGGTGGGTGAGGGGACGAGTGCTGCACAGTTGGAACAATGATGTCATTGGTTTCTTGAGTGCTACTGAAAGAAGGTCATAACCCTGTGACATGAGGATTGTAACACAAAAACAGCTGGTCAGTCTGACATACTCTCTTTGTCTTCCCAGTGGCGTTGCTGAAAAGCCCAAGTGAGAGGCTGTCAGGCCCATGGGGCGCAGGCATAGGCCTCATCAGTGAGATACATAAGGATCACTTTAAGATTCGCTAACAAGGAACATTGTTGCAGAGTGAGGTCAACTGGGTGTCATTTGGCTCCTTCAATGAGAAGCCAAATCTGTCCAAATCCCTGACCTGTCTTCACAATAGGCTGCTGAGGGCACAGGAGAATTGGCAATCGCTCTGTAATGTGAAACATTGAATTGAGTGAGGATGAAATAAAGTAGAAGGGCTCATTTGAGACTTTCTATAAGTGGAGACACTCCAGTGTTAGATAATCAAGCAATCTTACCACAATGCATGCAGAGGAACAAATACAAATTTGATTACACTCTTATACCAACCACACATACTACAGATTATAATGGAAGCTTCAGAAAATAACTTTCTGTATGTATTTTTCAGTCTCAGCATGAAAGCAACACATGAGCACAGAGAGGTCTAATACTGCCGATAGTCCTTGGTAACTGCTGAGCTCTGTAATTTCAAGCTTTCCTATGAGTCATTGCTTTGAGCTGCCCCCTGCTGCTACACATGCATGCACAAATACACACATTTATACACACACACCACAAAGATACTGAAAAACCTGAAATCAACTTCAGCATACAGCACAGGATTCACATCCAGGAAACATCTAGTGGTTGACAAACCAGACTAATTTAACAGCCCTGGAAAATGTATAGACAAAATCCATTATGAAACCCATGCACTTTTGAAGCAGACCCATAATTGTTAGCTTTCCAACATAATGAATGTGCTCTCGTTTTAGAAATTGGCAGTGAGTTCTGTATAAATGTACAAACCAACTACAGATCACAGGGTCAAATTAAATAATATTTTGCTGTGCATAATATTAAATTTTCTTCTGACTTGCTCTTATTGGTTAAAAGACCAGAGGGAAATAAAGTAAACGGTTATTCATCATGAGTTGTGAATCACCCAAATTACGACTGTGCAAGTTGTTGGAGACTGAACAAAACTCATAAGACTGTAGAGACAAGCAACCATAGCTGTACAACACTATGGCAATATGGAATTAACGCAAATGGTCTAATTTGTAAATTCATATTTTCATAAGTTAGTAAGCAATAAATACAACATATTAAAGTCTACTAAAATGTTTGTGTTCAATTTCACTGGTAACTAACCATCACTAAACCCCCACCCCCCAACCATCCATTGTCCAATGATAGTGTAGTGAGTGGCTCTCAGTAACGAGAACTTAGAAAGAATTTGTGTTGGAGTGTAGTGTCATTTTTTAATTCATCTTTCCAAAAACAAAAACACAAGAGCAAAAGTACATGAAATGCATTAAACGAGGCATTTGTCTGCCCTAACGTAAGTTGCAAATGTTAGCATGTCCAGCTAACTAGCTTACTACCAACAGGGACAACTTCCAAAGCCAGGGAACAATTAACCAACTACATTATTATGTGTGGTTACAAGTTACAATTTAAAAGCCAGTACTAACACATCCACTTTGTGGTAGCCAAGAAGCTACTATATAAGAATTATTTAGTTTGGGGAAGTATACAGACCATTTTACATGGTTATTGTTTTTAATGAGTCAGCTGGAAACAGAAGTCAGCAGGAGACATATTTTTCAGCTAACTAACGGAGATAGCATTAATTGAATTACATAGCTACAGATGATTAAACCTGCTAGCGACAACTGTGGTTTCAGCCAACAAAATCAACAATCACTAAGAAGCCTTTTAACTACTTCTGTTTGAAATCAAAGACCTGTTGTTTCCAAAGTTACTATACATTTTGAGAGGTAAATGTGGCACCATTATCATTGTCAACTGTATATGTGCCATGCTAGACTGGAAGGCTTGACAGGTGTAGCAACAGTTACTAAGAGGGGCGGGGCTAAGAAAACAGTCAGTTGGTGACCAAAGTAATAAAAAAATAAAAATAAAAAATAAACATATTCCATGTAAACAAAACTCCCAACATTGTCTCAAGATCTAGACTGGAGGATAAGCTTTTCCAGCACCAGCAGGTACTTCCCCACATTCAGTACATGACAAATCCCACACCCTATGCTAAAACAAACGTACAAGAGTGGCTGTTGGGCACCAAGCCAGGTATTTCCTGGGTAAACCATGGAGTTCTAATCAAATTTCAAATGAAATATCTAAGGGTGGTATCACACATCACATGTATTGCCCATTTTTATGTCGTTTAGTGGCCACTGTATTCAGGTACAAACGTGGGCTCTCAAAAGTAATAACATTGTGTGTGTGTGTGTGTGGATCGTTTGAGTGTGCTGACAACATTTTTATCTCTTCACTGCAACTAATTTACATACTCACATAACTGGTTCTACCGTCCATATGCCCTGAAGTTTCTAATCACGAGCCAAGCATCATGTAAATATGCGTTAGTTAAATATGTCCTGCAGTTGTTTTTCTGGCACTTGTTCCAATTAAAGTTAGCATGACTATGCTGCCTGGGGTAACATATGGAAAAAAAAAAGTTTATAACAGAGCGCTTCTTTTTCCCCAATAATATGCCTCTTTGTATCACAAACACCCTCAAGTACTGTAAATTGAACACTCACCTGAGTTGCACTACTTTTGGTCCATGGTAATAAACATTCAGAGACAAGAGGGGAGATGGTTGAGGGGATAAGCTCAGGGAAGGGGTTTGGAACAGGGGAAGAGAATGACTCCTCTCCCTCTTTATTGCTCCTGAAGGACAAAACACAGAGAGGTAGAGAGAAACAGACGCTGTATAAAATGTGGCAAGCATAGTTCAGATCTTGTTTATCTTGATCTTGTCTATGAGTTTTTAAAAGTATGTCTGTATGCACGTAGGTAGGTCTGAATTTTTGGCCAATGTGTAGAAAATAATTAATTAAAAAAAACATGTTTCCATAGTGTCTCAGAGTTGATAACACTGGTATACAGGAGCAGAAATGAAATGTTGGATCAAGCAGATACAGAATTTACAGTTTATGTGATTTTCTAAGACCTTATTTTATTATTCTTTTCTGTGGAAAATCACACTATTCAAATGATTAACACAAACAATAGATCACTTGTCTCCCTATTCTGCCTGTAAGAGTCAGTCCCGACTGTAAAATTGTAATGATGTATTAGACTTTATGCTAGACTGATTTCACAACCTGTAGCTTAGAGAGCTGTTACAGCATATTGCTGGTTCCTCTGTTGCACGTGTCCCATGTCGAGGAATAGGGAGCATAAATGGAGCAGGTGATAAACAAAGTGACAGATCTGACAGAAACACAAGGCTGTCTCTGCGTGGACCCCTCCTGCTCTCAACTACCAGACAACACATCCCATTACCATCAGACTTTTGATATTTGATTTCACCACTATAGTGTGGTAGCTAATAGACACAAAAAGGGAGGAAATTAAGCAAAATAATTAGGGGAAAAAAGTATTTTGGTCATAATCTATATTCTTACATCTAATCAGTTGCAATCCATAAGGAATGGGTCATTATTATATGTAAATGTTTAGCCCTTGTAGTGAACTAACATCTAAAATCAGTAAGAAAAAAAACTGTATCAACATCTATATTACCGTATCCCATTCTTATCCTCATTAGGTCAGATAGTTAGATTTCAGCACACTTGCAGATGAGAAGGCCTCAGATTCTGAAAGGTTCTGTTCTCTGACTGATGCTTTCTTTACTGCTCTGTAAACACAGCAGTTACTGAGTTACTAATTATCTCCCACAAACTAACAGGTGCTTGATTTGATTCCAGGTCTTTAACTGCACTGTTGAAATAGTACATTACACTTCATTGACAGCTGCGTTTGGGTCGAGCCAATTGTGTTTACAGGTACAAAGTCTACACTTCACTCACTCTTGCAAATACAAAGAACGTACTATTCTTCTGCAAGGCAGCTTGTAAAGTGGAGAGCAGTACTGCTTTCAGTTTTAGTGCAATTGAATTTATCTTAACTGAATCTTATAAACAGACTGGTGTCATTCATGGCAAGTGTAAAGAAAAGTCATACCTGTTCCTCTTGCAGAGCGTAGTCCTGATCTTCTGGGCATTTGGTGTTAGTAAAGGAGCTCGCAAAGGGATGAGGGCTGGGTTGGGAAAGCCACTCACATTACCCTTGCCAGTGTGAAAAATCTCTGCTTTCTCTCCGAGGCTTCCAGAAGTGTGTATTTCGTCCAGCGTGTTATTCATATCACTCATGTGGGCCAGCTAAATCCAAGGCATCATCTGGAGTGGAGAGAAGAGACAAGCTGTTGGACTGGAGTGTGTGCAGAGCACAGTTAGAGCAAGCTGGCTGGCGGGGCTGCTCTGCTCACAGCTCAGCAGAGTACACACACACACACACGCGTCTCTCCGGCTCATCTGCTGCCCACGAGGCTGGCCCAGTGGGGCAAAACGATCCCTCCTACCCAAACATGATCCACCACAATAAAGATATTTTTAACACAATGACTCCCAAAACAGTCACCGCTGCTCTGACACAGTAGTGTACTAATAATCAACTAATTTGTTCAGCCTCAAGTCTTTTGTTAATGTTGTTGCTTTAATTTCCCTCCTTTTGTTTTTGTTTTTTTGATATAGTTCCCTCTAAGCTGGAAGGCAGGAAATGTGCACACAAAGCACACTTAGACAAAGAGGGTGTCTTTAGCTCGGTAATGAGTCCGGGAGGGCCGCCAGTACTATAAAACAAACTGTTCTTTTATCATGGACTTCGCACAGGGATCCAAACTGCACTTTAAACTTAGTACACTGTAGAAGGCATGTGGTTGTATGGAGTAGCCAGCCCAGCAGACTGGTTGTGTTGTGGGCTGTGTCATTCAGTGACAGGCTCCATGTGGGGGATGGCTGGGATGATAACATCTTTCTGAAAGGTAATGTGTAACAGAGTCTGTACAGGGCAGGACAGCACACTGGAGATACAGGCTAACAGCCAGCAGAGGGTTAAAGCAATACCTGCATTAACAGAAGACAAGGCTAACTTGATTACTTTGGTAAATATGTCAAGCTGGTGCAGTGGTCAAAACCCTGTTGTTTTTACTTTCAAATGGAAGAAATACAGAGTAAGGAAACAGTACAACGTTGCATCTCAGACTGATAAAAGACCTTTTTGACCTGCACCTGTCTAGGTTGTCTGTAACCTGTTGTTGAGTCTTTACATTGCTTTAAGATAAGTTTCAAAACAAAATATTATATACTATATACACTATAAAAAATAAATACATAAAAGACCGCACATATCTTTTCTGTGTCACAGAATTACTCTCTTGCTAGGAGATGGAAATCAGACTGATGTGTGTGACCTGCGTCTTTCTGTCTCCATTAATCCACTCTCCCTGACATGCACCTTAGAATCTGTCACAATAGCACAGCTCTTTGTGACAGGTTACCTTTAGGCACAAGCACTAATATATGCACTAAAAAGAAAAAGACAAGAGAAACAACAGATCAGCGCACAAATCTGTGCCTCAATGTGCCGGTGCTGCTCGGGCTTAAGAGGTCAAAGCAGCAGTGTCAGTATTAGTTTCTTGAGGTTGGTTTTGGAGCGCAGAAAGCAGTAGGGGATGGGGGTAGACAAATGGTTCAGCTGAGGTCCTACGGTGGACTGATACAAGGACGAGAAACCCCAGGCAGCATGAGAGGGCCAGAAATAACCCATAGCCTGGAACACATTCTTTTGGTATCAGTCAATGCAAAGGCTAATTACATTGGTGTAGGATGAACGCCAATCTATTTTAAGGACTTAATAACAGTGTTTCACATAACAGTAAGATACAGTTTTTAAAAAAAGTATAAGAATGGTTGCATAGTGAATGACTTCTAAGAAGAACTTAAAAATTGTGACATGACTGACGAAACAGATTTTTCTTCTGTCACTGCAACAGTTTTGTACCACAAACTATTAAATTAATTCCCTATTATTGATGACTAATGACTGAATCAATTTCATAGAATGTATATCCTATAGCGAATGTTGTTTCAACCTCCTTGTTTGCGCTTTGCTATAGTGTAACGCAGAGCAAAAAAAAGTTTGTGGCCAATGTACATGAACCACTTTTTGGTTAATTGTAATAAAACCATCTCGTCTTGTCTTTAAATGATGGACAATTTAAAATATAAATTGGCCGGCCTGCCAGAGAGCCGCTCGCCAGGTTTGTGCGGCGTTAGCAGTAAAGGAAGTGCTTTTCCACTGTTGTTCTGAAATATAGTTCAGTTACAGAAGTAACAGAGAAGGAAAGGGGGGGGGGTAACATCTCACCCAGGCTTTATCGCTCTACTCCAGTCACCTCCTCATTTATACAAAGGGCATCCCTGCAGGACAGCCCTCAGCAGAGCACGGACAAGAAGATGGTGGAAACTGGATATTCCACCTTGCTATCCAGTTGACAATGGTGGCCAACAACCTGCGGCTGCTGAGTGTGTGTCAGGTGAGGCCTGTGTATCAGCTACGAGGTTAGATTCTGCCTGCCATAGGCTATGATATGCCCCACGTTACATTACCCCCCCAGCACAAGGACAATGACGATCTCCTGCTCCACTGCTATGATAAAAACAGTCTGAGGCAACCTCTGTAGCATTTTTAAAGACGACATCACTTCTTGTTAGGCTCCCCTGACTTTAAAAAACTAATTGTGCGCTGCTGGTCCACCTACTGGTCAGAGTGGTGTAACAAAATCTCTCACACTAAAGAACACCAGCAGTTTAAGGCGAGCTACAGCTGTCTAGTTCAGCTCGATGCACTCTATGCATCTAATGAAATGGAAAGGTTACAACATTTGTGCACGGTTGGCTTATGTGGAATGCAGTGGAGTGAGGCATAGCAGCTGTTGGACACTACAGGGAGAGAGGGTTGGTTGGTTAACACTTGTGCTGCAGCAGCCTCTGAAATCCATGCTAACCCTCTCATAATGTGAGACAGCAGCGATCATGTCATTTCTGACTTGAATTCAATGCATCATTTTTTTATTTATTTTTTTAACTGTCTCGTGCAAAACTGTATTTTTTTCCAGCAAGTTGTCCTACTTTATAATGCTGAGAAAAGATGAGCTCTTGTGATACAGTGTCTTTAATGGAGGACAATTTGTGATACAGAATCTAACTGTATATTTTTCCTCTTCTCGCTCATTTGTAGAAGGAACACACAATGCACTGCTTAAAAAAATATGTATATTGGATATAATGGGGGTGTTCAGTCAATCCAGTTTGTCAGGGAAACAATTTCATTTTTCATATTTGCTAACACAAATAACTTGTTAACTTTTTAAAGTGTAAACTGAAAAAAAGATACATTTTGACTGCTCCAATCCCAAAAAGTGTCTGTATTTTGCATGAAATGTGAAAATATATTTCCCAAATAAAGTTGCAACACAAAACTCTTGACGCACAGGAGTAGCAAACGTTGTAACTTCACTGAATAAACCCTGAAAGTGTCCAGATCAACACTGTAGCTGACGCTGTTGTACTGAGATGTTGCTAACGGAGACATGTCATCCTACTTCGTACGAATTGACGTTAACATTAGCTGTTTAGTTAACTTGAGTTTTGAACGATAGATACTTTGTTGCTATCCCCTACGTGTCCGGGAGATCTGGCTTTTTTGTATTCTTTATTTAGAAACGCTCGACCTTGATGTGTTTCAGCAGTTGCTTAACGTTGACTATCAAAGCTAAGTGGAAGAAAAGCGGATAAATCAGAAACTCAGGGAAAGCTCAGTTAATGCGCCGGCGTCCAACCACTTCAAAGACATTAACTGCTGTCGAGCTGTAACGTTACAATTTGCGACAATTCTTCAAAGTAAGTCGCTCATTTTCATTACAAAGATCAATAAAGACCTCCTGCAATTGTAGAAAATAAATACGGAGGTAAACGCTAAAAAAAAAAACCGCAAAGTGAATCCTCCGCAGTCCTTCCTGCTCCCTCCTCTACCTCTACCAGCCTGAACCGACCCAATACCTCTTTCAAACAGACGTGGTGTGTGTTTCATTTGTTTGTTCTTCTTCCCAGCTGTTCTTACCTTGTGCCTTTTTAAGTGGAGTCTCCAATTCAAGTCGTGAAACCTGGTCTTCATGTCGCTGCTCCAGTGGGGAAAGGAGCTCACTGTTCGCACGTGCTGCACAGGTGCTCTTACTGTAACGTGCTTTACGTCACAAAGTGCGCTCACGTTTTACCTGTTGTGAAAAACACGCTGTATTCAGCGGCCCCGGCACTTTACGCTCGGGGGAGGGGGGCATAACTTCTGCACCCAGTGAAGGCAGTGACTTTAATAAAGACAACTGAAATGATAGAAGCTTTATTCATAACAACACTGCTTGACAATGACAGGTGTACTGCGCACATCAGTGTATTTCTGCATATCGCTTAATCGAAACTCTGTAATACTTAAATATAGATTTGATGTATAATCTAAGGAGCATTTATGTACCATAGGTCAGACCTGGTCTGTCCTACACATCCAGTATTATTCATAAACCCAATAATATTACAACTGTGGAAATCAGTCTAATAATTTATATAATTGTTCTCATTTAATGTTCTTGTTCACTCACAACAGTAATGCATTAAATGCAAGATAGTCATCACACAAAATAAAAGAGAAGCATTAAGATATGCAGGTCAGCTGCGAAGATTACTTAATGACAATTGAGAAAATAAACCAAAATACAGCAATTATTAATTATCAAAATACATAATTTTATGTACACTGTTGGAGACTACCACAAGAGGTAAAACAAAAGACAGTTTCTGCTTCTGTGTCCTGGGATAACAGGTTCTAGAGAACTCAAAGTAGACAGGATAAGCTCCTCCTGAAAGAAAAAAAAAATACAATGGTTGATGCATCTGTTGTGGATACATTTATATATGATCAAATATTGCAATGCGTTGGATTTTGCTTACAGTAGATGATATATTGTCAGAAGAATTAAGGCAGTGCTATGGACCGCTCTCTCCTTCCATTTGAACAGTCCCACTAAAAGATTGTGGTTCATCCTCTACTCGCTGCAGAGTGGAGCCTTCGTCGCTATCCATCTCTTTATTTTCACCGTCCTGTGACGTTAAAAGAAGAGACACAACGTATGCAATCACTGAAGATTGTGCCAGACATAAAACAAACTAACCTATAAGTTTTAAATATAGTTAAACCTATATTTGTGTTGAAGGACTTTCCCTATACAGTATTAAGCCCCAGTGCCCATGATGCAACCCAGTATAAGGACAAGTAAGGCGCAGGAATAAAGCTTGGGACTGTGCTTTCTACCTTGACTCAATAATTCTCGTCTTTTGTTTGGACTATGTGGACTATTTCCTGACCTGCACACAAACCACATAGTCAGCTTTGCACTTGAGAATGTTAAGAAGTAAGAGTATTTTTCAGTATTTTCCTGTGGTTTACAATGATGTGCATGCCACGCAATAGAGTTAGTCCTGAAATCCTTTATTCAGTATTTACATTTGTAGTTAAATTTTAACATCTTAACATTTTCATCAATGCAATGTATCATTGTCAGAAATATCGGAGTGTGGTAACTAATGAAACAATATCTTGAAAAACTCACAAAAGTCCTGTTGTATATGGTATTTTTATTTTAGCTGTGGAAAAAAGACTGCTTTGTTACCATATATGTTGGTTTATTATTAATTATTGATGTGTATTTGTGTCATGATCTTTACTGTACATTGCATACCAGCTGTGACAGACACGGTCACAGATTTGCCATAATTTAAGAAAATTAATTATTGTTTAGTTATTTATTGTCAGTGGATAGAAACCCCCCATTTCTTCTTTGACTCAACTACCACCTCAGATCCCCATTAAACACTGAATGCCAAATGCTGTTACCTTTAAAGAGACTGGTAATACAGCAGGTAGTTTATATTAAACCCTGGAGTGATTCAAGTGAATGGATCAGAGGAACTATTACACTAGTACAGTGTTAGATTTTATAATGTTCATGAGAGTCAGTAACTCGGCACTGGTCACAGTGTAAATGTCTGATACTTTACCAGGCAAATGACCCAAAAATGGTTTTAGTTTCAAACAAACTGAAGCAGTAGTGGGATATGTCACACTCTTGTCCACTTCTACATAACTCTTTTGATAGATATATATTAGTGGAATCTAACCAATCAAAAAAGTGCTTTGATCAGCAGTGCAGAGTGCTCCTCTACTCAAGCCTTAATATATCATGAGTGACAGTGGTCTCATGTGCATAAAATAGTCCTGCTTTCATCTATATTTAGATATTTCAATACAAGTATGCTCAGCTATCTGAACTTACCTTGATCTTAGATAATCCTTTCGACTCTATGACTGATGAGTGACTTGCAGTTGGGGAGAGGAGTGGTGAAACAGGCGAATGAGGCGACTTTGGCCTGTGGGATAAGGACTGGCTTCTTTTCACAGCAGAGGACACTGCCTGGGCGAAGCGGGATGGGGTGGCGGGAGAATAGGGCCTAGGGGCTGTAAAGCTCCTTAATTTTTCCAAGCTTAACCCTAAGCTTGGCTCTCTACATGGCAAACTACTTTGCCTAGTCATTCGCATGATGGCTACATTCTTGTCATCCCCTTTAGGGCTCAGCTCAACATTAGTGGCCCCTGTCGTCTCCTCTTTACACTGCATGGGAGGGGGAAGAGGAGGGGGTGGTAACTGTGCTCTGTCTGCACTTCCTTGAGCCTCCCTCTGGCTAGAGCCAGGAGTGGCACTGAGGCTCTTTTCTGCTGCTGAACTTACATAATACCCAGGTGTTTTTTTGTGCTGTGTCAAGCGGAAAGAACTAGGCTTAGGTTTAGTTGCGGGTGGAATTTTCATCTCCTTGACCTCAGCTGGTGAACCTGCTTGAGATGCCCCATCAGCCGAGGAGATCCTGTCATCTGCTTTAGGCGAACTTGCTGGTGATGAGGATTGAATAGGTTCAGGTATAGTTCCATTAACAGTGTCTTGGGTAGTAGTAGTAGTGCTAGTCAGTAAGTCTTCCCTGGGTGTAGTAGAGTGCAGCTCACTTTTTTCCTTTGACACCTCTGTCTGTTCCTCTGGTGCTGTGCTCTCCTCCAGCTGAAAAGAACCAACATTAAGTCCCTCTTCTGGAGCTGCAAGAGGCGTCTCCAGTGTCAGTGCAACTTCAAAATATCTAAGTTTCTCCAGGGATTTCTGAGGCACGATAGTATACGTTGTCATCCCCACCTTGGGGATGTAGTCCCTTGTCAGCTCATTGGAAGGCTTGGGCTTTGGCTCAGAGTTTGTGGCATAAATAGATGATGCCTTTGTTGTGGCAGGGGCACTTGGTGTTGAGTCTTGGCATGATGAGGTCTCTGAGGTGTGGGATAAGGCATGCTTGAGGTCAGGCGTGTCCAGTTCCTCTGTCAGAGTGGCCATATCTTTCTTCCCCGCTAATTCAAAGGCGGGTGCATTAACTGTGGAAGGAACTTCAATGTCCATGTGCGACTCTGGAGGCACAGGTAATGGTGTGAAATCTGTTTGCACTTGAGCATCCTCTCCAGTGGGGCGTGATGGGCTGGTGGCGACTGGGCTCTCCAATCCGTCAGTTTGCTCCCAGAGGGTTTCAGTGTTTGCCTGAACAGAGGCCTGTGCTTCTGCATCCTGCATCACAGGCGGAGGGAGGCTGCTGGGTACAGTACTGCAATCACCTTCAACACTCTCAGGTGTAGACTCTTCACACATGGGCTGTTGGCTTACATTTTCAGCTTGACATGGACCACCGTCTGTACAGAAAATATAATTTCTCATGTAAGACAAGTGTGTTGGCTTTCTTTGAGAGGCAAAATCCCATAACATGGCATAGTAAGGCCATGTTCTAGAAAAATATTAGTAGGTATTTTTGCAAGATATCTGCAGCAGATATGAACGATACCATTATAATCCAAGTGCAAACTCACTAGTATCTGCCATCTCAGACTGGTCTGTGCCATCAGTCGTCCTGACATCAGTCAGAGTTGCAGAATCGTTCACTGTGCTCTGCAGTTGACTGTAAAAATAAAGCAGAGATAAATAAAAGTGTTGCTAACACTAATGGAAAAACATGGCTCAGGCTTAAGAAGTCATACTAGAGTTCGTACTTGCCATCTGAGGACAGATCATGGGAATGATCTTCCCCATTGCACTCAACGGACATTGTGCTCAGCACGTCAGTGTCTGGGGATGGGGAATGCAGTGAAACATCAGCAGACATGTTAAGGCTGCTGTCCTCTCCCTGGGTATCACTAGCAGTTGCAGACGTTACAGAGGCAGTGGTCTCCTCTTGCTCCATAATCTCCTCCAGTGTGTTAACAACTGCACCCCCTGTAAAACAACATCATAAAGAAGTTATGAGTTATAAATAAAATGTTGCTACGTGATCACTGGAGTATCCAGCAATACATTAAAACTATGTTTTCACAAAAGCATGTCTTGGCTGTATTCATTATTATAAATTATTGTGTTTTCCAACGATATGCATAAGAAACCAAGTATAAAACTATATTTATCTCATAGATACACATATTTACCCTTTCCAATAAAAAGGTTCTTCTGATTAATGAATTCCACTTAATCTTCTACATCTCTGTCTCTATTGTATAGTTCTTAATTTAGCACTAGGAAGTGCATCACAGAAGAGCAGAGGACAAAAAAAAAATTTCAAGGCTACTTAAACAAAACTGCTGTTTTCAGCCTCTGATTTCTATGTTTACTGAGCAGCACTGGGCTTTTGGGGAAACAGCAGAGGAAGTGATCTTTCTCTGTAAACTTAGTGTTTGAAAAATTAGGAGCAAAGAGAGAGAAACAACAACTACTATAAATGGTGCCATCAATGGAAAGTGAAAAACTTTGTAGATACTTTGTAATTTGTGTGATCTAACCCCTTAAAGATAAAAAAGGTTAATACTTATGTAAGCCAAAGTAGATTGTTTATTTATCAGACCTCAGTTAAGTTTTTTAGGGAAAATATTCTTTGTTTTTGCTTTGAATTGCTTTGTATGAGGACAGGTGGAGTTTCCCTCACAGGACAATAGAGTGAGGGTCAGATGTGTCTACACAATCACAGGATATCAAAGTATATCAAAGAGATTTAACTATAGTCAACCAAGGAAAAACACCAGGGAATTCAGAACCAACAATAATTTGGAATGTAGCAAAAATTGACTTCTCGACAACTATGTTCTCTCAACACACATTT